TTTTTTTTTTTAATTTAAAATTTTATTAAAAGGTGATGATAATGCTATAAAATGACAATTTTAATTAAAATATCATAAAATTTGTAATTTTATCTTAACCTTTTTTCCATGGATCTTCTTCACCCATCCCTTATTCACACCAAAGTATTAGTTGCCTTAAAAAAAAAAAAAGAGATAATTATATCATTTAAAAATCAACTCTAAATCAAGTCTCATAAATTTCAATCCATAAAAAGTCTCAAATTTCAAATTTTATATCCTCTTACGGTTATTTGCTGATAAAAAAAAAATCTTTCTTGGTATATTAAATTATTAATTATTTAGTAATATAAAAATTTAAATATCTAATTTTGACCTTAAATTAAAAATTTTAAATTAATAAATACCAACTCCTCTAACAAAAAAAAAAAAGAAAAAATTCTTCTCATAGTTACTAAACACAATCCTTTAAAATTTTTATTATTAGTGAAAAATGAAATATTTAAATTATATTTTTAACAAGAACATGAAATATCATTAATGACTTAAATAATTCAGTAATAACCTTTTTTTACTAAAAATAAGAGATTTTGAATTGAATCATATGATATACAAATGTGATAAAAAATTATATCTCGTTATGTAATTAATATTAAAATAAAATAAAATAAAATAATAACATGAAATATCCGCGAGTGAGATGGAGTTAGGAGCATGAGCGAGTAGCCGAGTGTAGCCAGAGTGGGGGTACCAAAAAGTGTAATGGCGTGGGGTCTACTCTTTTCCCCTTCCCCCCCACGATCAAATTCCTTCCGTTTCACTACGCACACCCTGTTAACTTCTTCTCGTAACCCAAAACCCACACCTCTCTCCCCTCCCATCTCTCTTCTTTTTCTCTTCACCATTCCTTCCTTCACCTAATCTCTCTCCTCCTCATGTAAGTAACCAAATCTCAATCTGCTCCTCCTCTTCTTGCTTTCTCTTCCTCTTTCCTTTCATTAATCTGTTCGTTTTCCTGGTTTTTAATCAACCCTTTTTCAGGTGTACAAATTCGGAGGGAGATCTCAGTTTTCCGATTTATTCATCGTCATGGCCTTTGAACGTAATGGTATGTACGTTATATCCGTCGTTCTTGATCTCTGCTTCTGTTGATTTTCCGAAACGATTGCAAGTTTTCATTTTGGTATGGAGAGAGGTTGAACGTTCCTATTAATGGTGGGGACTTCGATTCTCTGTTTGTTTGAGTTGTTTGGGTGTCTGTCTCTGATTTTTGCTGATCGGAGTTTGTATGGGTGACCTCAATCTGTATCATGCATGTATAAAATGATCTTGATTTTTTGCACAATTTGAGTTAGAATGCTGCAAGTGGACTACTTTTCCTTCTTCAATCTAACCTGTAACTACTGAAATATTAGTGTCATTTGTGGTTTAAGTGTAAAGTTGATGGCTTTTCGGTTTGAAGTTTGAAGTTTAAGGCCTGAGGATACTGTATTGGTACTGGGGGTGATGGGTTCGTGCAGCATGGTTTCCATTCTGAATCTACATTACTCACCTAAACAAGGAAATTTTGTGTTTTAAGTCCTGAGAGTTAAATTTTTTATTTTTATATTTTATTTTTTTGTATTTTGTAGTTGTGTCTGGATGTAAACAGGAAAAAGTTTTGTTGTCTTATCACTTGATGGCATGTGGTCTTTTTCGCCTAGAAAGAAAATTAAACATCTCAAAACACCAATCAACTGATATTAGCATTACAGTGCTTCACTTAAATGGATCTGGCACATTGAGATTTTTTATTACCTTGTTGATTTTTTTGCTGCAGAATCAATCCAAAAAAAGTTCTGTGATGCACCTGCTGGATGCCTCCTAAATAAGGCACATCCAGTGTGTCTGGAGTATAAAGATGAGTCAAGCAGCCTTTTAGGAGGTGCTACAATGGAATATGAGAGGTCTTTTAGCAATGCATATTTTGCACCTCCAAATGAAGCTTATCGTAGACCAGTGATCCAACCAGATTATAACCTTTGGTCTGGCTTCCATCCTAACATACAAAAGGCACAGCAGAACCACTTTCATGGATATCAAAACCAGTTCTATTCTGTGAATCCTGAATTTTATTTTCCTATAGATAATCGATTTCAATATGCACACTTCAGGATGTCACCCCAAGTTTACAGGTCGGATTTTCCATTCCAAGAGTTTCAATATTTTGTTGTCATCGACTTTGAAGCCACCTGTGACAGAGAGAGGATTCCTCACCCCCAGGAGATCATTGAGTTTCCCTCTGTATTGGTAAACAGTATGACTGGCCAAGTTGAAGATTTTTTTCAAATATATGTGCGCCCTACATATAACCAACTCCTTAGTGATTTCTGCAAGCAGCTCACTGGTATCCAGCAAACCCAGGTACTTAAAGCTGATTGTTGCTTTTGCATATTATTTTACAGTAATTTTCAAAATTTTGACGTACATCAGGCTTATTGCTTTGCTTCTGCATCACCAAGCGTAGTCATTCTTGTATTTTATCTCATGGAAATCGATTTAAAAAGCTTAGAATTTCTATGGTAGATAGGATTGCGATTCTGTAGTCTCTTTAGACGGTTTAGGTTTTGGCAATATGAGTAGTACTTGGTCAAGTGGCCAGTGTCAGTTATGTTACTGTGCTTAATATTGGGAAAACATTTTGAGTTTAGGATTTTCATAAAGATGTGCAAAAGGGCCTCCATGGAGAGGACAATTTCCAAAGAAATACAATTATTCAGCTCTCTGAGTCTTTATTTCAAAAGGGTCTCCATGGAGAGCACTTGCATCCTTAACAAAGCTTAATTGAAGTAGTACTGAATAAAAAGTTTTTTGACCCTAGCGCTTGAATCTTGGAAAAAAATTTAATGGAAGTTTTATATTCACATTGATGTTAGGTTTTTCCTCATGTTTCATAATTAAAGAAAATGGGGTGAACTCAAACAGTAACAGATGAATAAGCTAACAAGAGAAGAAAACAAGAAACCAGGTCAGCCTTTGACTTACATTGTTTTCTTTAACATTTTTGTATAGGAGGATCCCTCCTCAACCCCCTCCTTCATCAACACCTAGCTCCAAAGGGGAGGGGAAAAATGAAAAAAGATTAGAAGGGGAAAGGAATTCTCCCATTTCACTTAGATGAACCCATTTTGGTTCTTATCTAAAGTTTTCTATGTTTAGTCACCCTTTTTAGATCCAATTTCTGCAGAACTCCCTTTTCTATGTGTGAACATGTATTTGGTATGTGGAAACCAAGCAACATGTTTCTGCTTGGAATCTTGAGCTAAATTTTAATAAGATAATGCTTTCAAGATCAAGCATTGTGATAAGATTTAAACCTGAAAATGACCAGAAATTCTTCTGGAATGGAGTGATCAATTGACATATAATTGCCAGAAATTGGACTACTCTCAACTCTGTTTCTGTTTCTTGTTTAGAAAATGGATTATACATGGCTGACTGCTTGATGTCTATTTTTCTAAGTTTTCTGTTATTCTATGATATATTGAACGGTAAAGTATCTATTGACCTGCATCCAACCTAATTCATGATCTAATGATCGAGTCAACTTTCTTACTAATCTCAGTGACTTCAGGTGGACAAGGGTGTGCTTCTAAGTGAAGCTTTACTTAGGCATGATAGATGGCTTGAAGAAAAGGGGATTAAACAAACCAACTTTGCCATAGTGACATGGTCAAACTGGGATTGCCGGGTAATGTTGGAATCTGAGTGCCGATTTAAGAGGATCCGAAAGCCACCTTACTTCAACAGGTATATAATACAAAAGTTGGTGTAACAAAGACAGGGAATGTTTCTTCTAATTTGCATGCAAGTTTATTGTCATTGTACAGTATATGAGACTGTATGAGACTAAAACAACTATACTCTTGACATGAATGTGCATATGAACATATGTACCAATTTAATCTCAACACAGATTCTATCTATGTGAATGATTTTTAGATATTCTAGTTATTACAGTGGCAGCAGACCTACGAATGGATTAAATAGATGTTTGTTTTAATTTTTTCTAGATGGATCAATCTGAAGGTCCCATTCCATGAGGTATATGGTGGGGTCAAGTGCAACTTAAAAGGAGCTGTTGAGATGGCTGGCCTTACATGGGAAGGACGTGCCCATTGTGGCCTGGATGATGCTAAGAATACTGCCCGCCTCCTTGCCCATCTGATGCACCGTGGCTTTCGGCTTTCCATAACCAATTCTTTGTTGCGGCAGTCAGCAGATCATCCATTGACAATGCAGCAGTTTCTTGATCGTCAATCTAGCTCAATCCAGCACCCTCACAAAGTGAGGCACCAAGTAATGCCTTTAATCCAATTTCATGGACTCCCAGCTGAGTTCACCAAAGAGCAACGTGAGTACTGCTATTGTGGGGTTAAAAGCTGCAAGCAGATGATCCGCAAACCTGGGCCAAAGTATGGGAGTTACTTCTTTGGGTGTGGCAATTGGACTGCCACTAGAGGTGCTCTCTGCCCTTATTTTGAATGGGCTACCCCTTGACTTGAATATTATGATTCTTATCCTTTCTAGTCCTGAGACAAAAAAAAAAATTATATCCTGAAAAGAAAAAAAGAAATGAGGGTTTAGAAAGATGTGGCTCTAAGCACACATCATAGTCTTGAGTTATGTCTCTCCCTTGCTAGATGTCTAACTGAGACAAAAGAGGGAAGAAACATAGGCAGGCTTTCATGGGGTGGGACACTGCTTTGCCCGTGCTTGGACATGGTATCTACCATCTCAAATAATCTGTGAATAAGGACCTATTATCATGCTTATTAATGGGAATGCAAAAGATGTTCTTTTTAAGCTTCTGTGTTTTGCTTTTTCTCCCATCCTCTTTCTATTCCTTCATTTTCATATTTCATGATTTCTTTAACTTGCATCTGATACCAGATTAATGGTTGCTACTTACGCAACTGTGACAAACAACTACATTATGTCTCTATTTCCAACATGTCAGTTCTGTTCACAAACTACAAAACTGTGAGTCTGTGACAAACATATACATGATGTCTCTGTTTCCAAAATGTCAGTTCTGTTCACAAACTACGTTTTCATTATCTATATATATAATATATGAATTGTGGCAGTTGAGTACTTGATTCAATCGGTGGGTGGCCGCCTTGTTTGACCTCAAGGCATTCGGTATCTAGAGATAAACTAGGATTGTCCTCTCTTAATTTCTTGTTTTTTTTTTTTTTTTTTGA